TAATATTATCAATTATTATTTGAAGATTTTGTAAAACTGTAAGTAAAATTGTATTACGGATAGGAAAATATATGTACTTTAATTTTAATTTAAATTATTAATAATTAATTCTATTTTATTTTTTAACAAAATCTTCCTTAAAGATTAATAGTAAAATAAAGCTAAATTATTAATAACCGATTCTATTATATTTTTTATGCATAATTTTTCTTAAAGATTAATATAGTAAAATAAGCTAAATTATTAATAACCGATTTTATTACATTTTTTTACGCATAATTTTTTATATAGATTAATAGTAAAATAAGACTAAATTAGTAATAACCAATTCATTTTCTATTTTTTACGCAAAATCTTCTATAAAAGATTAATAGTAAAATATCTTAATGATTATTTTCCTTATACTGCTTATTGATTCTTTTTCATTTTCAGAGTGTAGAAAACATTCACATGAATAATATTTCCTTTCATTATTTTCTATACTTCCATATTATTATTAATTTTCTTTCCAATATTATTATTAATTGTTTGGGGGTACGGCTTCCTTCCATTCTTTTTCATTTTTTCATATTACTATTAATTGTTTAGGCGGGAGCTTGTAAAGGATGATTTGTTTTTATTAATTAATATAGAATATAAATATAGATTAATATTGAATATACATTACCAATTAAAATAAGTTTTTTTTAAAATATTATATTGAACAATAATATTACCAATTATTATTATTATTATTATTGGTTCACATAGTTGAATTATTTGTTTTTTTATTTAATCATTATAAACATAAATGATATTTACTAATTAATTTATGATATTTATCAAATTGTATTTTTTTAAATATAGTGTTTTCTCCATGCATTGCACGGAATTTTATTTTTGTTATTATGAATTTAAAATAAAAATAGAAAAAATAAAAAGATGTTTAAATGTACAATATAATAATATAGTTGGACTTTTATATATTTAGTCAAGTATCTATTTCATAACATACAAAATTAAAATTTAAATTTTGTATGGTTAATATATTCTCTAATCATGTACATATTTAGATAAATTTATAGAAAAAATTCATATAATTAAGTTGATTTATTCCAAATTGTATTTCATATCTATATATGAAATTTAAAAATATGAATAATAAAAACTAAGAGAATTGTACTTAGAAATCAATAAAAAAATATAAATTCTAAATTTTGTATGAATAAATAAATATTCTAATCGGACGCATATCCTTATATGATTGTATAATACTTTGTATATACACATAATATTTATTAATATGTATATAGGAAAGTCCTATAATATAATTTCATTAATTATAATTTATATTGATAGATTTATACTTAAAAAATTATATTTAGAAATTTAAAGAGTATATGTATGTATATTTAAAAAAAATTATAAATATTCATGTTTTCTTAATTTTAAATTTCATTTTTTTAATTATATTTCATATTTTATTAATTATAATTTAATGAAATTGTCACAAATATGTCTACGAAAAAAATTATATATTTCTCAATTTCATTAATTATATTAATTATAATTACCAAATATTGTGGCAATTATCACAATAATTTCATTAATTATAACATTTGTTTTCTTCCAATATTTAAATACATTGCCATAAAATTACCATAATAATAACACAAAAGAAGGAAAGAAATATTATGAGAATAATCTATATATATATATATATATATATATATATATATATATATATATATATATATATATATATATATATATATATATATATATAAAATTAAAAGTAAAATCCTCCTAACCAAGTTTATCCCCAAAATTTAGGGGCATATATATATAAATTGCATATTTACCATATATGCATATTTTGTGTTTATATAGTATAATTTTTGGTATCAAACATTTGAATGGTAATAAACGGGGGAAAATGTCAACATACAAATGATAATTAATTCTTTCATTACTATACTAATTTTAATGGTAATTCATTAATTATTATATTTCACGATGAGTCAGCCTGTTCATGCCCATCATTTTTCAAGAAACATAGAAATGAAATAGTCAATTATTAAAATTGTTTATGATTTCGTTTTTAATTTTTGTCTAAAGTTAAAGATATATATTTTCGGCGATTATAACATTTTGTGTATTAACTGAAAATTTGAAAGTTTTACCTTTTTTGAGATCTCTTACCATTTTATAATTTCAATATTGTGCTATTTTGAACTCATCCATGGTGTATAAATACACTCTATATGACCATACAAAATCCATTGAGGAGACATTTGTACTCAAGAGTAAACTTCTCCTTAAACTAAATTCGGGTGTCAATTCATTCATAATGATATTCCTATTTCTGAGTCTTTCATCACCGTTCGGTACATTAATGATGTCTGGATTTCTGGGTCTTCCATTGTTCCCTTTGATCCTTATGATTGTGCCTTTGCCAATATTTTTTATTTGGGTTAAGTACAACGTGGATTTTTTTGGGAGGTTTATCTAATTAATTTTTTTGGTTAAAAATTTATATTTTCTTTGTATTTTATTTTATTACTTTTTTATTTATTTATACTAATATGTGAATGGAGTAACACAAAATCTGAAATTGTATTTGTTATTTATTTCTTCTTTTCAAATAATCATTATTTTTGTGTTTTACAAAAATTTAGAAAAAATCAAATATAGCGAGATTTTTAATAGGTTAAACAAACACTCTACTCAATTTGTGATATATATATATATATATATATATATATATATATATATATATATATATATATATATATATATATATATATATATATATATATATATATATATATATATATATATAAATTATAAAAATGCTGTAAAATGAACTATGCTTGGTAAAAAAAATCATAGAAACTTGAATGGCATGTACAAATCTCGAAGTCAACATACTAACTCTAAGTTTCAGAAAATCTTACAAAATTATCAAAATTACCGTCTTTATCATCCTCGATCGCATCTCTACAATCTTTCATAAAAACTAAACCAATAGGGTTCTGTTACAAATGCTCTTCCTCCTCAATTTCCTTTTGTTGAAGCAGAGCCTCCTTAAGTATCTTCAAACTCATACCAGATGATATAAACTGCAAAACATATTGAAGTACATGAGAATATAGTTAGAAAAATGTAGAAAATTCATACAAAAAGAAAGCAGAGAGATGAGTCTGAGATTCTTTGATTGAAGAAGCCATTGTATTTATAGGTAGAAAATACTTATTCAAAAGGAAAGTATAATAATTTATTTATTTAAGGGAAAATATAATAATTTATTTATTTAAGGTAATAACATTATTATTATTATTTATTTATTTATTTATTTATTTATTTTCCATTTGACATTTACTTACCAAATAAGTTTTACTACAAAAGTTTTGGGGGGAAAATTTGTTAGGAGGATTTTACTTTTATATATATGTAGATTTTATGTTATATTAAGTGCTCATTCTAGAAGAAGCAAATGAAGCACTTTCGAAAATAATTGATTAGAAAATTTGACGTTTTTTCGGCTATTGAAATTTATTGTGAATCAGAAAGTATTGACTGATCGAAAAAATGCGCTCAAGGCGAAGATAGAGAATCTTTAAAAAGCGAACAAGTAAGCTCACAACACGATTAATCCTAGTTGATGTCGTCTTCCTTTTTTATTCTGTACATTGGAACTTCCTAGCGTTTTTAAATACATAATTGTAATTACAGAAATAATGCCATTACATTTTTTCTTACTTTTCAACCATAAAATCTACAATGGCTAGAATTTTGCCACACTTCTCACCTAGGAGGTTCTTTTCATGGGAACCGGCTCATATATATATACACACACGTGCATGTGCAAAATTTGTAAGGATATATTCGGTTTAGAATTTTTATAACTTTTGTAAACTTTTTAAAATAAAAAAGTTTGTAAAATTCAATAAAAATTTATAAATATTTGTGATATGAGATTTTTTTTTTTTTTTTTTTGTACATTGTGATATGAGATCTTTATAGACTCTTATAACATCTACAAAAATGTAGAAAGATTCTATGAAATTAATTTAAAATTTATAAAGGATATTTGGTTCAAGCCATTTAAGATTACTTAGGTAATATTTTCATAAATAAAAAAAAGATTCCTTAGGTATTGTGAATATAGTAATGTTATATCACCTTGTTTGATTTCAAGTTATAAAATTACCTTAACAAGTTATAAAATTATATTAGTAATTTCATATATATTATCTCAAAATTGATGTGTAGTAATATTCAAAGAAAATATGATTACCTCATCAGGTCGTTGTCCTCTTCATTTTCAATAATTATGTAAATCTGTACGTCATTTTCACCTTAATCTTATTCTTTTTTTTTTTTTTAATATATAAGGTCTCCATTTGAACGAGTTCTAATGAGTTCCGAGTCCATACCGAGTAAAGGGGTGGCGGAGCAAGGACCTTTGCTTTCGACTTTATCACTGCAAGCTCAATAGCTTCAGAGGTGGTTGATTTTTTTAGGATGTCTTTTTGGCTAATGGACTTTATTGTGGACCAAAAAATATTGATCGACCGAGAAAATGTGCTCAAGGTGGAGATAGAGAATCTTTAAAAAGCGAACATGCCAGCCCACAACACGGTTAACCCTAGTCGTTGTCATCTTTCTTTTCTATTCTGAAAATTTGCACGGCATTTGTACTTTCAAGCATTATCAAATGCACAATCGTAATTACAGAAATGTGATTGCATTGTTCATTATTTTTCTTTACTTTTCAACCTTTTGATCTACTAAATCATGTCTAGAATTTATAACACTTTTCACCTACGAGGTTCTTTTCATGAAAACCAATAATATATATACATATATTAATGTTATATCAGGATTTGAAGTTATAAAATTACATTAACAAGTTATAAAATATGATATTACATTAGGATAATCATATTAAGATTAAGATAACCATAATAAGATAATTTTGCATTTTATTTTGTGGACCAATCGCCCTTAACATTCATTATTTTCTGCACGCCTGTAGCAGAGTGCTTCTTTCCTTCCCGAGACGTTTTAGTTCAGTCTTTCCGTCCTTCCTTAACCCTGCTCGCTCTCTGTCCTCTTCCTTTTTCTATTCTGTAAATCTGCATTGCACGCATTTTGCACCTTCATTTTCTCCATTTTTCTTCGTTCCGATGAGTTTCGAGTCCATACCGGGCAAAGGGGTAGCGGATCAGAGACCTTTGCTTTCCACCGGTATCACTGCAAGCTCGTCGGCTTCGGAGGTGGTTGATTTTTTGAGGACTTCTTTTCAGCGAATGGACTTTAGCCTGGGCCAGAAGATATTGACCGACCGAGAAAATGCGCTCAAGGCGGAGATAGAAAGCCTGAGAAAAGCGAACGAGGTGCGGGAATTTCAGAATTGCAAAATGGGGGTCGAATTGCAGAGAGCGAAAAACGAGAATATAGATTTGGCTGAAAACAATGCCCGCCTTAAACGAGAAATGGAAGAGTTGAAGGCTGAGAAAATGGAAGTTGAGGAGAGACTGAAGGCTTCAGAGGAAAGATATGTGTTGTTGGACAAGAGGGTGTCTCGCATGGAGGAAAATTTAGGGGCTTATGTTGGTGAAAGAGTTCCAGACGTGAGCAACATTGCCGATAAACTAGATGATGTGCTTGAACCTGAGAATGATGGGCTTTCTTTTGGTACTCAAAATGCCACCATAGTTGGTGGTAGTAGTAGTCCCGAGAAGGAAGGTATAAATATAATACAAATAATTGGATCTTTTATTACCCTAATTTATTTTGTATTTAGTGCCCTGGTCTTTTATTTTATTGTACATGCTTAAAGTTTTGGGTTTGATAGCCTGCAAGTCTGTTCTCTGGGGAATGGGGAATTGGGGATTGTACTTATATATTTTCTGCAAGTCTGCTTCTAAAGGCTATTATCTATGCTGATGGTGGGTTCCCAGAATTTGTTTTGTTCAAGGAAGGAAAGTCTAATAACAAATTAAATTAAAGTTTCATATATATATGCCTGGCCTATTTGTTGTTAATTGTGTGTTTCATATAAGTGACTATATATCATGTTAGTCAAAGTTGATGACTTGATGATTCCTGATGCCTACTGCCATTGTTCTAAGTGTTGCATATCCACTTTGTGTTATTACAGTGTCATATGTAGTTCTCAGTGATGATGAGGAAGAGAATCAAGAGATGCCTCTGGATAATGATGATTTTTTGGGGAAAAGTGAAATGGGACTTGGCCCTAAGAAGAATGAAGTAAAGAGAGAAAGCTTACGGAGAAAAAGAATCATTGGCATCGATGATGATGATGATGATGGGGGTAGGTCTTCATTTTGTGTACAGAAGCGCAAACTCGTGCATGAAACAGAAGTAATACCGGTATTTGACAGCCCGAAGAATCATGGTGATGCTGGAATGTCAGCTTATGAGTCCATGGCCAGAGTTAAGTGTGAACCAATAGTAAGTCCAATGGCAGGCAAGTCTACAGCTTCTTCAGACCTCAACTTGAAACCCCAAAAAGTTGGGAGCGGGCCTTGGCTGGATCAAAATGAAATGATTTTGGCATTTGTAAATGATCGTGAACTTTGTATGAGTGCTGTTTGTGCACTTTATAGAAAGCTAATTTCTGCACCACTGTCACTGAAGCCCATGGATAGAGGATTTGACTCAAGTGACCAACTCGGGTATGATTTCAAAGCCACTTCACTATTTATCCTTTCTCTATTTATATCCAAACCAGTAACTTTACCATCATTCTACCATATCATTCAATATTGGCTCGGTGTAGTTGTCTCCTAAACAAAATCTGTTTTTTACTTTACCCTTTATATGAAGAGTTGGATACGTGTTTGTAAGAGAACCCACTGTCCCAATGTTTTTTAAGGTGAAAAGTGCAGTAGAGCCCCCCTTGGCTTTAAAGCACAAAGTGTATACAAAGTAGAAATGTGCTTCTTTATGATTCTTTGAATTTAATGCTCATTGGCTGAACACATTTTTATGGAATATGTTGTTTAATGATCTATGGCTTTACATGGTCATGCTCCGTTCTGGGAATGACGAGTGCTTCTTTTTTGTCTTAACATGTTTTTGGGAATGACGAGTGCAATTTCCTCCTGATTTTCTATTTTGATCTAATGCGTATCTTTATGGTGGGGCACAAATTTGTACATGCACTCTTCTTTTGAATCACATGTATGATTTATTACTTTAACTCGTTAAGGAAATTATGGCTTCATCAATGAAACGCCTATTTACCTGTTGGATGTTGCATAATGTTTGAATCTGGAATTTTTGTATTTTTTTTCAGCGTTGAATTGGCAAAGTATCTCATTGACGGCCACCCAGAGAATAAACTGAATAGGGCTATGTCAGAAACATCTAAAGTTGCTGCTGAGGAGTCTACAAGGTTAGCTCTCAAGTACAGTGGACAACTTTTTCGCATATACTCTAGCGGTGAGGATCCATTGTTCTGTCACAATTCTACAAGCTCCAGGCGTTAGCGTGCTTCCGAAGATGCAGACTATGCATGTGCACCTCGGTCTTCATGTTAAATTGCGTTTTTGTGATGAACTTTCTTTCATCTGCCCCGGGGACAATGTGGAGAAGACCTTTTGCTAGTTTTTTATGCTCGGAGGGTTGCAATTGTTTTTGGGTACTGATCAAGTACTTGCCATCATAGATTCTGGTTCATTTTATTTTTGTGGTCTTTAGTACAAATTGCTCAGCATGATTCTTAAAATGTACAATCTTTGATCCATATATCGGTAAATCTAGATCCAGATAGTTTTGTTGAAAATGCTGTTTTTGTACTTGAAAAGCTGTACAAACACTAAGATAGTCAGCCTTTGGCGCTTGTATATTGTTAATCTAGTCCTTTCGGCCAATATCATGATTGCAGCATCATTTGCTCTTACTTCCCATCCTCTAATGTGCTGTTTATGCTAAAATTTGCCTGCTTTTCTTATTGTAGTATTGAGGTGAAAATAGTTTGCCTGCTTGGTTGAATTGCCTTCTTCCTTTTAAAACAAGTCAAAGAAACGACATTTTAATCATATAATTTTCTTAACTCGGAAATGCTTTTGGTCCATATTAGAATTTAGGGGAATGTGATACTAGAGAATGTGACAAAAAAAGATGAACTACAAAGTCATAGATTTATAGCAGTGGAGAAGGTGGGTGAATCACAAAAATACCAAACAAGAATTGTATATATTATAATAATGTAAAGCAAAAATTTGCATGACAGATTAATATCCTTTCTTTCACTGCAGTGGAAAAGGACTAAATGTTGCTGAATCTCTAACCTGGGTATGGAACAAAAACTTGACAAAAAGGGTTGAGTTTTAAGTTGAAAACGAAATTATGTGGTGTTGCATGGAGCCTACCTATGTGTGCAGTTTTAAGCAAACATGGAAATATGACGTAAGAATGGGGAAAGAGAGCTAGGATATCTCTGTATCTTTTACTTGAGCTTTCCTGTGTCCCTTCAGGCTCATAACTGATTGTAGTATGCCAGCTCTGTTGATTTTGTTGCTGTGGGGATGTGTCAATAAACCTTGAGATACGTATCCACTTGTGTTTACTGGGGGACCTCTTGATGGTGAAGATGTTTTCAGAGGTTGTATAGTCAAAGAAACCGGTACTGATTGTGTTCTTGTGATCCCTGAACCTGAAAATACTGGTGATGAATGTGTTCTTTTTATCCTTGCAGGAGAAGATGATGGGGACCGGTCTTTTAGTTTCCCTGCTGTAATTGGAATGGTTGTAACGTGAATCTCAACTACTGAACTAAGAACAGGATTGAAGTAAACTATTAACCTATTGAGAAACAGGTAGAGAATAAAAGAAAGAGAACTTAAGAGAAAAAACCTGATTCATTGCTAGCTCTTGTGTCTTTAAATTTCTTGTTTGATGGAGACCTTGGATTGCTTGGTTGACTAGCAGAGGAGGACTGACCAATTTCTGAACTGGAAAGAGATTTCTTTTCTGGGATCTTGGTTAATTTTACGCTGTTGCTTAATGTTCTCCTTTGTGTACTTTCAGAGCGAGCTATCTTGTAATTTGCCATAACTACTGCTGAATGCTTGTTCTGTGGGGCCTCCAAACCGCATGGTGTCTGCTCACCAGGTGAGGGCCTTTGCCCCGGACTCTGAGGAGATGCTGGTTTCTGATCACTAGCTGATTCCTTCGGTTTTTGCTCATCTGCTGAGTTCATACAATCGCCATTCAGCTTCTTGCTCTCCCCGCTTGATGGATTCAATTTCCTTCCTGGCATCTCATCACGAGGCAGCTGCAGATTTGATTGCTTCCATTCTGGAGTTTCAGCAAATGACAACTTTTCAATAGGTGAGACTCCTGGCAGGAATTTCCTCTCTGGATTTATTGCGACAAGTGACCTTGGATCAGCTGGAGATTTTCTTTGCGTGTCATCAGAGATGACCGATCTTTGATCAACACATGTTCCCATGTCTTTCCTGTCAATAATATCTGAGAAAGCTGATCTGCTATCGGCTGGCCTGCGAAAGAGATCATCCATAGGAGGTTCCCAGCTCTTCTCTTTAGAGCTTCCCGAAGCCTTTTCCCTCTCGACGAGCTTATAAGCAAACATCTGGTAAGGAATTTGTGACACTGTGCAGATGCCATCTTCAGGGAGCTTCTTGGAGTATCGAGCTTCAATGTCACAATAGTCGACGAGTGGGGGTGGACACTCGGGCTGGCCATGCTCGGGGTTTATAACAAGGACCTTTTTGATATAACGCAGAATCCTACAAATGGATGAGAACCTCGGGCGAAGGCTTGGATCGGTTTGCCAGCATTTTTTAGTTAAGTTCACAAGGTATCTAGGTGAAGGATGAGGGAAAAGAGGCCTCTGCCCAGCTATTAAGTTTCTGAAGATTTTTCCTCCTTCGATCTGCCTCTCCCCGTCTTCAAATGGAACTTTTCCTGTCAGAAGATGAAAGCAAACCATTCCAAAGCTGTAGACATCAGCTTTCTCCGAGTATTTGGCTGCTGCACATTTGCTCCCGGGTTGTTCTTGTTCAGCCAAAACTTCCGGTGCACACCATATCACAGCATCAACTGCACTGGATCCCGGTTTTGGGGAGCTTTTGTATGTATAGTTCCTTTTCACCGAGGATAACCCGAAGCCAGCTACTTTTGCTTGAAAATAACTTTCTGCAGAGGAGTACCTCGGTTTGAGCAGTATATTTGATGGATTCAACTCCCCGTGATGAATCTTTCTCGAGTGCAGGTATTCCATCCCTCTCGCGATCTGAAGCATTATATCAACCGCAACAGGGATGGAGAACGACATTCTCTTCTTCTGACCGGAATTCTCTTTGATGGAAGCATCAAGACTCTTGCTCATCAGCTCCATCACCAGAAACCCCTCTTTCTTCACTTCATCATGGAATCCACAGTAATATTGGAGGACATTCGGGTGGGAGAGCGAGAGCAGCATTGAAATCTCAGCAGTGTGTTCTTCAGCGTCCCCATAGAAGCTCCTCATCGCGAAACTCTCTCCCAACCAGTTGATTTCCTTAAGGCGGCTCCCTGACCCGAGACGCCTCTTCACAGCATAGCCGTTGGCTCTCAACAACACAGAAGTATGCAAAAGCTTGGTGTTCATCGTCGTAGTCTCTGACCCATCCAGCATCATCTTCATCAACCCCTCTCCCAGCTTGGTGTTCTTCTTCTCTTTGATGCTCTCAAGCAGCAGCCATCTGTCTTCTTTCCAAGCTCTCTCCAACCGGCTGCAGATTTCCCGGGGGACCAAGTACTGCTTCCCATACTTCCACAAGAAAAGCCTCGGGTCGTTCCAGTCTGCACCATACTTGTTCATCAACGCAACTCGCCTCTTCTGCATTTCTTCCTCGTCCTGGCCCGAGACCTCTGCAGCAGTCTCGATGGCCTCAATCACAACCGGGAAACAGCACAGCAGGTTATGGATGTGAAACTCGACGCAGTCAGTGTTGAATTGGAGAGCCACGGCTTTCCCCCACCAATCCTGGATGTCCAGACAGTACTTAATATAGGATTCACATTCCTTAAAAATCCTATGTAGCTCCCCCATTGGGCGCTCAAGCACCTTCCACTTGGTATTCCTCTCATCCAATCTTAAATTCTGTCTGATTTCCTCTGCAATTGTGTCGAAAGCCTGTACCAGAATGTCGTAAAGCAGACAACACTGCCTCTGGTTAATCGAAATTTCATGTTGCAACACCATTAATGCCTTCAAGCTCCCCACAACCTCCCCAATCTGCTGGAACTGATCCATTATATTATATATTGCGGCTTTACACTAAAAAAAACAAACAAAAATCACATTCAAATCAAATTCAATCATATGAAACACGGAAATCAATCAAAAGAGTTATTATACTGGAGAGATCAAGACGCGATTAAACAACAAAATTAGATTAGTATGAGGAGAATGAGGAGACGAATTGAAGAACCTGAAATGATGACTTATTGAATTGAAGACGCTGAATTCCTATCCGATTGCTATGGAATCCGATAGGAATCCAGCAAAACCCATCGGCCCGATCGAATTGAATTACAACGTTGGCTTACCCATCCTGACAAGCCCAGGAGCCACCTGCATGGTATATATATCGAAGATATATGTATGATTATTAAAAACAAAAGAGATGATAGATGCCTTTGGCGCAAGCAAATTAAGAAAACTGAAACGAAATATGAATTCAGATCAAAAAATGATAACGTTTGACGAACCTGAAGAAAATGGGAGATGTTCTTTGGAATTCAAGTCTGAGCTGCCTGCCAGTGGGCGGTTGACGCTTCCCATTCTTTTCGAGGCCGTCGTCCTTATTCCTTCTATATCTTCCCGCGATTTTCGGTTTCCATTTCATACGTTGCTACAATTTTTCTTTTTTAATTATTAAATATTAATTGGAAAATACATTTATGTTTTATATAGAGTAAATATCCAAAATGGTCTCTCGACTATAGCTAAATACACAAATTGGTCATCGACTTTTAATTTCAACCAATTAAGTCATTAACTTTGTAATTTTAACACAATTTAGTCCTTTGTCTATTTGACCGTTTGTTGACTGCGCTTTTTTAGGATATATATATGTAATTTCATGGTTCATCGTCGGTTTTTTAAGGTTCCGGTTACATTTTTAGACCGCACTGTTATATTTGAATCCACTGCCGGCGCTGCACCCCATGCCAGAGAGATTATAGCTTTTGATAGATAGATCGCCGAAGCCCCTGGAGTGGCTCTTCGAGAAAGCCGTGACTCCAAGCGATGTAGGCAAGCTGAACCGGCTCGGGATCCCCAAGCAACAAGCGGAGAAACACTTCCCCCCCTCCGAAACGGCGCTGTCACCTCTAAGAGCGTTCTCTAAGCTGAACCGGCTCGTGATCCCCAAGCAGCAAGCGGAGAAGCACTTCCCCCTCTGAAACAACGATGTTACCTCCAATAGCGTTCTCTTGAGCTTTGCACGTGAAACTACATATATATCCTCAAAGATCGCAGTCAACAAACGATCAAATAGATAGAGGACCAAATCGTGTCAAAATTGCAAAGTTAAGGACTTAATGGTTGAAATTGAAAGTCGAGGACCAATTTGTGAATTTAGCTATAGTCGATGGACCATTTTAAATATTTACTCTTTTATATACAAATAATATTTTAAAAAAAAATTAAACATTATTATATTCTAATACAATCACTTCAAAACCTATTACAAAATTTAATTTTAAAAAATCGATACACATTCAAAACATGAACTTAATATATCATCACTAATATGTGAAATTTTTACACTACACTTGGTGTTAGAGGTGGCCACGGGTTGGTTCAAGGTCAAACTAATCATGAATTGGTCCGGAAAAAGTGGGTTTGAGTCGGGCTTAGCCCAAACTTGATCGGCTTATAGAGAACC